GGGGGAGGGAGGCTGCACCCACAGGCTTTTATTGCTGTCATTTATTTTTGCTTTATGGTCGTGATTCTTTTACTGTCCCCTAGTTTACAGAGTTCTGCTTATAAAAATCATACATATGTAAAAAATATTCATGGTGCTTGCAGGGTCCAGAACCACCTGCAATTTCAGGCATCCGCTGGGGGGTCTTGGGGAGTCTCCAAGGGATAAGGGGGTTGGCTGTGCACGGGGCCTTCAACTTTATGGGAACACGATGTTCTTCACATATTTTAAGAGAAGGGATGAAAGACTGGTAGTCGGGGTCCCTTGTGAGATCACAGCCAACTGACATCTCTGAAAAGCAAGAGAGCAAAGGAATCTCCATCCCCAGCTGAGGCCCTGGTCTCCTCCTCCACCCATTCTAGATTCCCTTTGTTCTCAGCCCACACTTCAGATGCTCTGGCTGGCTTGCTTGGTGAGATGGTCCAGACTTCTTCATCCTTTTGAAGTCTGGTCCCATGCTTGCTTGGACCACTTTTGGACCTCGTAGCCTTCATTCTGGAACCCAGAAGCCCCAGGAATACTCTAGGTGTGCTCTGTCTGTGTCCTCTGGTCCATACACAGCAGCAGCCATGGCTCCCGGTACCCATCAAGGCTCACTGTCCTCATTTATAGCTACTCCCCTCACCCCCTTTTTTCTTGTCTGTTTCTCTACTATCATGAGGAACTCAAAGTGGCTCATTTGTAAGCACAGTGTCAAGTTTCGTGGGATTATTATTTCATTGGAAAAGCTTTTCAGTTGGATAACACTACCCTGAGCAGTGATAGCCCAGGGCTTCAGGGCTTCTCTGATCAAGGAAAAAAAAAAAAAGGCTTAACCCCAACACTACTCCTTGATTTCCAGACCCAAGTATATTTGGCTCTTACATATGTGGGTTCCGCATCTGGGGATTCAGTCAAATGCAGGCCAGTACCAAACATTCTGACTATACTGGGTGTGTGCAGATTTCCCTTGCTACTATTCCACAATGTCCGATAACAACCGTGCACTTTAAGTTAGTAGTGCAAGCAATCGAGGAATTATTTAAGATCTATGGGAGTCTGGGCCATCCAGCTCCAGCTGATGCATCCACAGCACAGCCCCTGTACTCAAGATTCAGGAGCATCATGGAAGATGGAGCAGGAAGAGTGCGAGAGCCAGAGGACCAGAAAATCTACTGTGTCTTTTAGAAATGACAGAGGTTTGGGTTCTATGGCTGCCAAAGTAAGGCCCGAATGAGGACAACACTAACAGACATGGTGACATGAAAGAAAGAAATCTCATGGGACTCCACCTCTAGGCAAAGAACTAAGCAACTCAGGGATGCTGAGAGCAGAAGTGGTCTTCCCCAGTGGGGTACCCTCGCTGAGCCTGTTAAAGGCTTTTCTACTGCATCAGAAGTCAGCTGTGATCTGGTGCTGGAGCCCAGGCTCACACTGATGGGTTCTTTAAATGACCGTTCATCCTGTCTGTCATAAAATGGGTCTTTCCATTTGAACCACACCCCATGGGTACAAGACAGACGAGGCAAGCATTGTGTGTTTGGGGATATGGAGAGCTGGCAAAGGCACTCAACCAGGGGAGGAAACCAGCATCAGATGTTTCGGTATTGTCAAGGAAGGCTCACTAAGTCTGGCCATAATGGTCAGTGGCTGATCACGGGAAAAGGTCCGTGCCATTGGACAAGAAGGAAGACTGACAGACTTCCACAGGACCCTGGCTGCAGAGCCTTCTCTGCAGTGGGTAGTGTCTAGTGAGCGGCGTGAGATGCAGAAGCTTTGGGCTTGTGTAGGCCAGCCCACATTCTCCTTCCCTATGTTTTATTGTGTGGGTGGTGGGGAGTGGGGTATCTGCATATTTGGGATATCTGGCCTCTTTGGAGACCAGAGATCAACTTTGGGCATCTTTCTCTATCACTCTCCAACTTAATGTTTCAGAGAGAGAGGGTCTCTCAGTGGACATCGATTTCACCATTTGCCATTTCACGTAGTCTGGTTGACCAGCAAGCCCCCAGGATCTGCTGGCCTCTGTGCTGAGGTTAGAGGTGCTCATACCACACTGGGCTTTTACGTGGGTTCTGAATTCAGATCTTCATGCTTTTTACATCAGGCATTTGAGCTGCTAACATCTCTTTGGTCCTCCCTGGGTCTTCCTGTCCAGAATAAGTCAACCTTGTCTTTTAGACTGCTGGCCATCATCCAAGACCTGAACCAATTTCTCAGGCTTCTCTGTGTCTCTGAGACTGGTCCTCCGTCCTTCAGAGAGGCAGTCCAGCTGCATGACTTGAGCTGTACCTAGAGGGAGGGTTCCCATCTCTTTTGTCCTTCAGGGTCTTACAGAGATGCTGAACTGTATGTCCCCACACAAGCTACATCTCATGAGCACCTTCACAGCACCCCAAATTATCTGCGACACAGCTTGGCTCTCCTCTCCTCTTGTTTACTGGTTGCAGGAAACAACCCCTGAAGCCATAGATGTGAGTTGAAGGGGCCTTGATGTAAGGCAATAAATAACTTGGGGAGTCTGTCTATCTGTCCCCATAGTTTGCGTTTTCTGTCTCTTTTGGGTCTAATCTCAGGTACCTCACTGGGTGCTTCACACTTCACCTTTCTCTCTCTCTCTCTCTCTCTCTCTCTCTCTCTCTCTCTCTCTCTCTCTCTCACACACACACACACACACACACACACACAGCCTTTACGTTAACAACTGACTCCTGCAGGGACGGCCAAGTGGGCACTCTGGAGACTACTTCCCCCACTTTGAGATAGCAGAGCAGAAGCAATCCAGACCCCAGGAAGTGCTAGGGACGCCAGAGGCACTGCCAGGACTTAAAAGGCAAAGGTGTGCTGGGCCCCTGCAAGAGCCAAATGGGCGGTAGCATAGGACAGCAGCTTTTCCTGAACTTGGCCAGAGGGTAGCATCAGTAGCAGCTGCTGGGACAGATGCAGGGGATTTGCTGAAACGGATCAACACAGCCTTTGGCAGGGAGCTGCAGTATGATCTGGCAAGCAGGGTCCCAGAGAAGGTTCCAAAAGTCACTTTCTCATGGCAAAGATGGGAACGTAGTTTACAGTTCTCCCTTACAGCTACATGAACTCGTCAGTATCCATGATCAGGTAACTCGTAGGAAGACATCTCTGCAATGTTTGTCCCCCCTCTGTGTTGGTAGCATCATACTAACAGCAGCCTTGAGCAGTAAGTGATGGCTACCTCAGATGCTGGGCCAAGGCAAGGAATGTGTGAAAATGTGGAAGATGAATTCCCTTCTCTGTCCTGGGCTTCTCAGACAACAGCACCCGAGGCAAGTCTTAGGCACCTCTGTTGTATAGTGAGTATCATTCTAGGAAGCAGGGGTGGGAGAGGGGGCACGAGGCTAGGAAGCAGGAAGAGCCCTTTATAAGTGGCATTAGCTGTGCCTGACCCGGTATTGTGAGACCACATTTCAAAATGCCTAAAAAAGATCCTCAAAATGGAGCTGCAGGTATAACTCAGGGAAGAGCACTTGCCTGCTGTGTGCCAGGCCCCCCTGAGGGGTTATTCCCAGGAAGGAGGGAGAGAGGCAGAGACTGCGAGTGAGAGCAAAGTGAAGAAGTTACTTTCGTGGAAGAAAGAAAACGTATTAGCCAGATTCTATTGGCAAAAAGAAATGGGAAGGGAGAGTTTAATTCTGTTGTGCTTGAAGACAGAACAGGGTCCAGGGCCATAGAGAACATTCAGGTGCTGGCAGAGGAGTGATGGATGCTATGCACATACATGACAAAAGGGAGGCGGGAGGGACACGTGAACAGGGTACAGGGCACAAGGTGCGGGCTTAGGAGCCCTTTGGCACACCCTCCTACCTGTTTTCTCCCCCCCCCCCACTCTTGGCTTCTCAGATTTTCACATCCATTCTTGTGTGGCATGCTGAACAGCAAGTTTTCTCAGCCTTCTTTGCACAGACACAGTCAAGGTCATCGGGATACAAGCCCCTTGGGCAGCAGCTGTGTGGAACAGTCATGGTTTTCTCTCGGTTAGCCAAGAGGTAGCCCTCTTCTCTGACAATTTTAATAAGTTCACTTCTAGCCGGCCAGTGAAGTCTGCTTCTTCTGCTCATTAATCAGATACACAGGGCTGTCCTTGTGTACCCTGGGAATACAAAAGACAGACACTTCATACCCACGTACGGAAGAAAGTCCCGCTCAGAATGGCGTGCACTGATTCTTGGTAACCTCTTTCCAAACAAGGCCTGAGATGCGTCTCCCAGGTTCCTGTGCCCTTCCAACTGCTGGAGAGATAGTCTGAAGAATGCCCCTGGATACAGAACCTTCTGGAACATTTGGCTGGATTCTAAGGAAATGGACAGCCTATTCATTTAGTCCAGTTCTGGAGAACTTGGGACATTAAATCCCTGGTCTCCACACGTCCCAGCCTTGCAGATTGGCCTGGACCGTGGTAAACAATTTAGACTAGCTGGAGTATGACATGATGCTTCCTTTTGGCTATTTCTACAACTTGACAATGAATGGGAGGAAATCACTTAAGCCCTCGCAGCACTGTCTGGCAGGAGGTGGAATGCCTTGCTTGGCTTCCTGCCCCATCCGTCCCATACCCACAGCTGAGACTGCCGGCCTCCCCCCCTCCACAAGCCCCTTCAGCTCCTAGGCCTAAAAGAGCCCCCATCCCCTCATCAATCTTAGGCCATAACTCCCATCCATCTTCAGGCCAGATTCCAAGGTAATAAATAATAAATAGTCTTCTCATCTCTGAACATGGTCTGGCTTCTCAGACGAAGTAGACACAAATCAACACTATTGGCAAGGGTCTATTTCCTATCCCCATGTGAGAAAAGGTTTGCAGGGACCCTGGTCCTCAGATTCCAAGGAGTTGGATGTTAGGGGCTTACCTAGAGTCAACAAATGTGTACGGAGGACTTGGCTGAGAGAGTAGGAAAGGAACCCGATGCGTTATCCACTTTGTGCTTTGGATCGATACGCTGAACCATAGGCAAGCCTATCAGTTGAAACGCAGGTATGCCTTCATCCTGCGGACAACATGGGACTGGGGCAGGCCAGGCTTGCTGCACAATCCCATCTTACCCGTGTAATTAAACTTTCTCTGTGTACTTCATATGTGCTCATCCCCGCCTTCCTTTAAACACGGCCTTCTCTCTCCATACATCTTTTGTTTGCCTGTTTGGGACAGATTGATGAGCTCACAACCTAGCTCCTCTCTTTTCTTTTTTTTTTTTTTTTTTTTTTTTTTTTTCGAG